CCTGTGGCTGCTTGCCCTGACTGGCCCCATCCCCAAGTAGGGCGCCTCCCCACCCCCCACGATGGCCCGCATTGGGGCATGCCAGCTGGACCCAACCAGTGCACGAATTTGTGCACTGGGCCTCTAGTATATGCTATAAATATAAAGTCTTTGGTACATCCAACGTTTGTTTCATCTCATATTTGGTATCTGTGTCTCTTTGGGGAATTGCTCATGTTTTACAGATTTTTGGTGTATCAAATAATTTTTTTTATTGTGCCATGGATATTTTGAATATTATGTTGTGAGACTGTCTCCTGTTGAAATCCTCTGGAGAATGTCGACTTTTCAGGCTTACCTGGCATTAACCTGGTGGGGTTTAGGTTGAAGGTTCTATCTGGACTTGTTTAGCTGGTGGTTTTAGCATCAGTTCAGTTTCGGTTTGGTACCCACTGTCTCCTCCCAAAGGATGCTGTTCCTGGTTTCTCTGGCTGGAAGGAAGGAGTTGTCCAGGAGTATTAATCTCTGTAGTGCACAGGTTTTCCTGACTGGGGCTGCCATCAGGCCTAAGCAGTGAGAGAAAATGAGAAAAAAAATAACAAGGAATATCCCTACAGTCTTTACACAACGGGTCCCCTTTGATTGTTTCTCTAGTCACAAGAATGGGTTTTCACTCAGGGTCGTATGTGTCCATGATACAGCTGACGTGTTGCTACCAAGTCTGTCCTTGAAAGAAAAGAAAAAAATAAATAAAAGAAAGAAAGAAAAGAAAGCTGTTGCCTATTTGTTTCCATATTCAAGGATCATATTCTAGTCAGGAAGTTGTAATTCCTTAGAATTTTACTTACTAGTCGTGCTTGTTCCTTATATCATGATTCAGCTTTTCCTTAGGCAATTCTAAGAGGTAAAGGGCAAGGGGGCCGGGGGGAAGGTTTGAATCCAGGAAACACATTGCCAGCGTATTATTAGTCATTCTTCAGGTCTTGACTTTGCATTCCAATCCACTTACTCTAATTAAATATTTAAGAATTCTCAGGTAGTTGCTTGTTTGTATTTTATTTTATTTTGTTTTCTGTCGAGTTTTTGTTACAAACAGTAGAAGAAACTAGAAGCCTCCCATTCTTTTTAAATTTTTTTTATTTTAACATAAATTTTGCTGGATATAGAATTCAATGTTGACAGTTGTTTTAAAAAGCAATGGAAAGAACTCATTCCACATATTCTGCTTTTCTCATATGTAGTCCTGTGAGTGTAATGTGTGTATGTGCTTTTCTCCCCTTAAGATTTTCTCTTTATCAGGGGTTTGGCTGAATACGGAGTTTACTTTATATAATTTGTTCCTTTTAAAGATCATAGCCTTATGTCTTTTCTGTATGGTGGAATTTGAGTGCTTTAAGCAGTTGGTTCATACATTTATACAGCTTTTCTTAATCGTGCCCTCACTGGTGTTGAAAGTCTCTTGGGTGGTTTTGATGTCTCTGTTAACTTATAGAATAAGTTAGAAAACAGTCTTTTTAAAAATGTTCTCTGAAATACGATTCTTTCCTCACTCCTCATTGCTTTCCCAGTTATAACAATTTTAGACAAATGTAGAACCAGCTGAAGTTTCACAAAAATTCCTATTGACATTTTTTTCTTTTAATACAAACACACACAATCACATACTGTAGTAAAGCCTACATTTATTCATGTTTTTAATGTTAATAAATTTTTTTTCAAGCACAGCATTCCATTGCATAAATACATTATAGTTTATTCTGCTATTCCTCTGTTTTTCTGTATCATTTGTGTTTTATAATGACAATTTTCTGTTGATTATAAGAAAGCTATGACCGTTATGTACATGTTTATTTGTGTACATATAGAGTATTTTTGGGGTCTATATTTGGGAGTGTAGTTGTAGGATTATAGGTAGTAGATTCATGTTTAACATAATAGGAATTATCAAACAAATTTCCTAAGTGGTTATTACTATTTTACACTTTAATCAGCAATAAATGAGTTTTAGTGCTCCACATTTTTTTTTTTGCCAACTTTGGTATTTTAATTTTTTTTTTTTTTAATTTAGCTCTTTGGAGAGTGTGTATTATCCCATTACGGTTTAATTTTGCATTTATTTGATGAGTAATGACATTGAGTATCTACAATTATTGACCATTTGACATCCCTTTTATGAAATACCTGTTTAGATTTTTTGGTATTTAAAAAATTGGGTTGTTAGTTTTTTAATATATTATAAGGAGCTCTTTTTAAATGACTTGTTTTTAATCTTAATGTAATCAAATTTAATTTTTTCCTATAAGTAATACTTTTTTATTTCCTGTTTAAGGCACTTTTTACTTATGTTAAAGTTATTCTTCTGTCTCTAATTTTAGCAGCATTATTAACCCTCACATTGAGTGGATTTTGTGAAGGTTCAAAGTTTACTCTTATGTTGCATACTTTAGAAAATTTCACCAATCTTATTTATTGACACACTAGTATTCTTTTGAATTTCATTGTTACTTTTATTCACAAGTCAAGTTTTGTCTATACGTGGGCTTTCTCTGGACTTTCTCTTATATTTATTTAATTTGTCCTTCCTTACTCCAGTCCAGTGTCAACTGGCTTAAATTACTATTGCTTTATAGTAAGTCTTTAAATCAGGAAGTGTACGGACTAGATCTTCCAGGTTATTAATTTTAATGGCAAGCTATTAAATCTGGATATTTATATGTCAGACAGAGATGACTAGCTTTAACTTAAAAATGTTCTTTCCTTTGAAAAATCTAAAAACCAAAATCTAACTATATATACACACACACACATACACACACACACACACACACACACACAATAATACAGATGCCCACTTAAAGTGCGAGACTTTATTGAATCTTTTATCTATTTAATTAGAAAAAAAGATGAAGTCGTCCTGTTAGATGGCAGTGTTAAAGATGGATAATATTCAGTGTCTGTGAGGTTGTGAGAGAATAGTCATCCCTGTAAGTGGTTGGTAGCGTTGTAAATGGGATCAGTGTTTTCTGGAGGATTATTTAGCAGTGTGCATCAATATAGAGAGCCAGGACAGTGGAAAGCTAGGAAAATTCCTTGCAAGTGGAATGGGGAAACTGAGGCAGATAGCTGACTGAACTGGTCTGAACACCTTACAGCCAGATACGGAAAGTCACCAGGGCTGAAAGCCCTTGGTGTCCTTTAGACCCCCTGACCTTTTTTCCCTAGAGATAACCTCTAGGCCTCCATTCCAGCTCCAGGCCCAGAAAATCAGCAAACCAGGTGGGTGACGCCAGGACCAGCTGCAGTGACTAAGGCGCTGACCAAGCAGTAGAGACCGTGACCTTGAAAGGGTACCTGTGGAAAAGCCCCGGTTCTCTCCTGTTGCTCCTTCTGTCCTAAGCCTTTCCTTGTGTCATTACCCCAGCTTTAATAAACTCACTCTCAAAATCGCCTGGACTCGTGCTGTGAAGTCTTCCCTGCACGAAGCCAAGAACCCACACACGACAGGCTGACCCGCGGCAGACCTCCTTCAGGCCCGATCCCTGTCTGGTCACAGCAACAATAGTGTTCCCACATGTCCAGCTTGACTAAGTAAAGCTGCAGCTTTCACAGATGCAGCACAGTACTGCTAACTATAGTCACGTGACTTCTTTATTTTATAACTGGAAATTTGTGCATTTTAACCCTGTTCACCCATTTTACTCACTCCCTATCCCTTGCTCTGTCAATCATCAGTCTCTTCTTCGTATTTATAAAATTTTGTTTTTGGTTTTTGGTCTATATTGTTAGATGCTAGTATAAGTGATAGCATATGGTATTTGTCTTTCTATTTTTATTTATTGATTTTAGAGAGAGAGGAGGGAAAAAAGAGAAATATCAAGTTGTTGTTCCACTTATTTTTGCATATAATATATATTTTATAAAGAGGAAGGGAGAGGGATAGAAGCATCGATGAGAGAGAAACATTGATCAGCTGCCTCCTGCACAACCCCTACTTGGGGATGTGCCTGCAGTCAAGGTACATGCTCTTGACCAGAATCAAACTTAGGACCCTTCAGTCCACAGGCCGATGGTCTATCCACGGAACCAAAACCGGTGAGGGCTCATTGGTTGATTCTTGTATGCATCCTGGCCGGGTCTCAAACCCCTAACCTGGGAGTATTCCGACGAAGCTCTAAGCAACTGAGCTACCTGGCCAGGGCTTGTTTTTCTTTATCTGATGTATTTTGCTTAGTGTAATGTCCTCAGGGTCCAACCATGTTGTCACAAATGGCAAGATTTCTTTTTTTATGGCTGAGTAGTATTCCATTGCATATATTTACCACATCTTTGTGAACCTCCTCTTAACTCAGTTCAACTGCACAGCCCATGTTATTCTCCCCTGTTGCATCAGGTGGCATTGGCTAGAATAATTAAGGTTACAAATCATGGGTAATATACATAAATGTTTTTTATAGATTTTTAGATTTGCTGTGTATTTTGTTCAGAATGTGAAGAACCTTGCAGTTGAATGTGTCACTAGAGTTAAAAAAAAATCATGACATGAAAACTGTCAGATGAAGGAATAAATTTGGAAGAATTACATAGATGTCACTTTCAACTTCTGTTGTGAGAAGCACATGTTGTAATCCCCTAATTATGTTCCGATTACCATTTTGCCTTCTATTAATCATTGTAACCAAGGTTACTGTATTCCACCAGCTCCCTGGGGAGGTTTAAGTGTGTGTGTGAGACGCAGAATAGCTGATTTTGAAATTTGAGTATAAGAGCATGAAAATTCTTAACAGAACTTTTTTTTTTCTCATCCAGTAAGGTTAAGTATTTAAATTAAGTGAACATTTTGTCCTTATTCTTAATAATTAAAACTCAGTTAATTATAATTTTAAGAAGAGATTATTAAATCAATATGTATTGCTCTTGTTACAGAGTCAGCAGAACCATTAAAATGAACTATACTCTGCTTTTGAAAACATACTCATACTCAAGGCATAGTCATAAATCTCGTTTTCTTTATTATTTTTAAGGCAAGAGGAGCAGATGTGCCTGAGATTCCGGGAGACCTCAGCCTTAAGACATGCGGCAGTACAGCGAGCATGAAGGTTAAACATGTGAAAAAGTAAGTCTAACTTGACCGCAGATTTGAAACGAACGCCTATAAATGGAAATGAGTTCTTCACTTTGATTCTGTGTAAACCTTTATTTAGATTTCTTCCTAAAGACTAAGCTGTTACTGTCCATACATTGAACTGTACTGTGATGCCTTATGTTACGAAACAGCAGTTAGTGGGCTAGGTTTGAAGATTAGCTCTGGTCTAAAAATAACACTTTGATTTTGTTCTCGCATCTTTATGTCATTGCCTATTAGACTGCTTTTTCCTATTTGTTCAGCAGGAAAAAGCTAAGTATGTCCTTCTTTTTTTAAAATTAATTTCTTTATTGATTAAGGTATCACATATTTGTCCTCAACCCCCCATTCCAATCCCCCACCCCCTTTCATGCCCCCACCCTCCTGTTGTCCTTGACCACTGGTTAGGCTCATATGTGTGCGCATAAGTCCTTTGGTTGATCTCTCCCTTTAATCCCCACCCTCCCTTTGAGGTCCAACAGCCTGACCCATGGCTCCTTATCTCTGGGTCTGTTCTTGTTCATCAGTCTATGTTGTTCACCATTTCCCCTAGATGAGTGAGATCATGTCCTACTGGAAATATACTAAGAATAAAAAATGAGACAAGCAATAATCGTTATGCTGAAAGGCATATGAATCAGTCTGTAGTGAGCTTCTTTCTGGGCCACTAGTTTCAATGTCAAACAGGGCCTTATGTGTACATGTCACTTCTTGGTACCTTCAGCAGGTGTTCTCACCCATTTAGAAAAACCGAGTTTGTTGTTTGAGTTATGAGAATTGCCGTATCTCAGCTTTGCCTTCGCAAAGGGTATGGGTGGCAGCAGCTGGCTCCCACGTGAAGTACCGTTAGGTACCTGTTTCAGTTTTAAGCAGAAAACCACCCTGCCAGCTGGTAGAGAGTTAGCTAGCTGTGTTTGCATGGCGGGAATAGAAAAGACCAGGATAAAAATGTTCGTTCTGCATCCAGACCCACCCCTCCAGGACTGATGGGCTGCGACAACGTGCACAGGTAACGCCCGGCTGTGTGTCCTGTGGTGGGCATGCTGCTTCTGGCTGGAAGCTGGCTCATCGCAGTTTCCATAACTTCCACCGACACCATAGTGGGCATTGACTTGGCACACGATGAGGAGAGGAGAGCGATGCCTGTTAATGTTTGTTGTTGTTTTTTTGACCCATGCACTCCACATAGCTTTCCTTTGATACAGTGAATTTCTGAAAGGGTGTGTGTGGGTATATGTGTGCTCATGCGCATGTGCTTCTTCAATAGTTTGCTTGCATGAGCTCCTAAACCCATTTTATTTTCCCCTGAGGCTTAGCGATTTCTCCACTGTTTCGGTGTCTTGCGTCTGACTGATCTATTTCATGGACCTCAGGTTGCCCTTCACCAAAGGCCACTTTCCGAAGATGGCGGAGTGCGCCCATTTCCACTACGAGAACGTCGAGTTTGGCAGCATACAGGTATGTGTGAAGGGGTTCCTACGTACGGAGTCGTTCGTTCTTCACGACTCTTTTTTCAGGAATAAACCGGGCACATGAACATATACTATGCTAGCGTAATGTGTGTTACACTAACATATTCATTTCAGATATACAAACATAGTGATTAGACATTTATGTAACTTACAAGTGATCACCCCAATAAGTCTAGTACCCATCTGACACCATACATAGTTACTACAATATTATGCTATGGTGTGTGTGTGTGTGTGTGTGTGTGTGTGTGTTTAAAATATATTTTATTGATTTTTTACAGAGAGGAAGGGAGAGAGAGAGAGAGCTTTTCTAGAAAGACTTCTTGTTTTAAGTAAAACCATATATAGTTTTAGATTTTGTAAATTGATTTTCTTTATTGCACTTCTCTTTGTTGTATCATCTTCCATTGTCCGAAAAGTAAGATTTATTCAAATTTCAGAAAATATTTTTCAGGGAGAAGGGAAATATCTCTTGTAACATGCAAATATCAGTGATCAGTTCCCTCTGTTTTACCCATTTGAGGCCTCACTCTCATCTGGCTGTGGCTGGTGTGGTGACGCCACCTAGTGTGGAGGACACTAAAACATTTGTGTGGTTTGCATTTCCTGTTATTTGCTCATCTGAAGCTAAAATTAATGTTTCTTTTAAAAAATATATATATTTTATTGATTTTTTACAGAGAGGAAGGGAGAGGGATAGAGAGCTAGAAACATTGATGAGAGAAAATCATCGATCAGCTGCCTCCTGCACACCCCCTACTGGGTATGTGCCGGAAACTAAGGTACATGCCCTTGACCGGAATTGAACCTGGGACCTTTCAGTACGCAGACTGACGCCCTATCCACTGAGCCAAACCTGTTTCGGCAGTATTGTCACTCTTAATGTGTTAGGATGTTGACAGTGGGAGTGTGTGGACCACATCATATTGTGAAACAAATATTTTTCATGTTTCCACACCTTGTATAGGCTACAGAGGTGAAATGAACCAATTCCAGAGGTATGTCACAGTGCAGTTGCAACCGTAATAGAACTAAATAGAAGATGAATAAAGGGACTCTCTTTACCCCATTTGAAATCTGTTGATTAGGCTTTGATGACCTATGTGGGTGGGGTTACATATTTTTACCCTGACTTACAATACCAATTTCCATGCTCCATGTAGAGAAAGGACTTTTCTGAATGTTGGAAGGCTTTCTGGATAGGGTTTTATTTTTAAAGATCCTAACAACACTAATTGCAGATTGGTTACCATGGTGATAGAAAAGTGAATTCAGTATAGGAAAAATAACTCCAAAAATAGATTTGTAAGGAATCTAGAAGTATGGCACTTGGAAATTCTGTTCTCCCTTCTTTATAGACAAAGCACTGAAATAGGGGGTTTTACTTGGAGGAAGTAAAAATAATGTAAATCATTACGTTCATGTCATTCAATAAGCGAACATAGCCCAATTGTTTATGATGTGTACTCTTGGCACATGTGGTGTGGGCGCTGTGTAAAACCTTGCCATTCTGACTTGTTCATGGGGTGTCTTAAAACCAACAGACAATTCATCAGGAATGCTTTTATTGAAGACCTTGTAAGAGATTCTTTCCTCAGGAGGAAACAAGCAATATACCAGTACACCTAAGAAAACTGTAATACCTATTGTGAAGTGCTTGTATAGGCATTCAAAGGCAAGAGAAGTTACTTCCTGTGGCACTCAAAAGAATACTTTATTGGAGCTTGCATAGATTTGGGAGATGCAGAGCGAGAAGTGCAGAGCATTTAGACAAGGAAAATCAGCTTAGACAAAGGCACCTGGGAGGGGAGGGGATGAATGGGTTCGAATCTAACCAGTGTTCCCCAAACTTTTGACATAGTATGTGTACCCCTTCTATAATTTTCGTAACGCTGAGTACTCATGAGAACGTAGAATTAGGCGCAACTAAGTACGGTGCAGTGCATATCCCCACCAAACTCCAGTGCAATGTGTACTCCCACCAAACTCTTCCTGTACCCCTGGGGGTACGCATACCACACTTTGGGAAACACTGGAAGGATTATGGGAAAGCGTGGTTTCGAAGCTCTTTGGAGAAGTGTCTTTCTTCAAAGCTCCTCTAAGCTTCTGGACTTGGCATTTAAATTACCTTTGTAGAAGGAATTGAGAAAGTATTGAGAGATTTTGAAAAGAAAGGACCATAATCAGGGTGTGAGGGAAATGGAGAGAGACCATCTGGAAGTCTTCTGTGAATGTCCAGCCTGCGATTGTCTAGACCAGACACGGTGAGGCCCAGGCCCAGGGGAGAAGCAATGGGGAATGGGGAAAAAGGAACAGGTGAGGGGTAAGAGGCAAGTTTTGGGAGACTAAAGAGAGAGATTGGGGAATCAACAATTGAGATAAGATCTTGACCCTGGGAATGTACAAAGAAAGGATATGTGGAGAGGCCGGGTGGTAGATGAATCTGGGATGATTAGGTTGGTTAACAGCGAATGGTTATGAAACCAGACACAATGGGTCCAAGGCTGCCTGTCACTACTTGAGCCAAATTAAACAGAGACAGGGTAGAATCATATATGAGCGTTTATTCCACTACTGCTGGCAGCATGGGAGAGCAGTCTGTCACCCTGGAAATTCTGCTCTGACCACCTCCCTTTGCCAGCTGGCTGATTATAAACACACCAGGGAGAAGATAGCCACGTGCAGCTGTGAATGTAACATGGAGGGGAAGGGAGGGTCTGCAGTTGGGCCTTCAGGAGCTCAAAGATCCATAGTAAGGTGGCTAAATCTTCTATGATGCTACAAACAGCTCGGCCCGTTCCTGGACTGGAGAATTGTTCCCAAGGCAAACTCCTGAAGGCGGTCAGGGTTTGGGCACAGCAACCAAATCAATGCGTGTCCTGTCGTTGGTCTTTTCTCAAAATGTGTTTCTTTTCTGTGTAATGGACCCATTGAGGAGGCATCTTATCTTTTGATAGCCTTGTTTTCATCCTTCAGTTTCCCAGAATCTGTAAGGAAACTTCTCATCTAGAGTTAATAGGTGAATAGTTATTAAATAACTGTAACTCTATTCTTATTATGTGTCCTTCCCCACTATCAGCTATGTTATACTATTGATTTACTTTGGGAATTAAGGAGGAAGAAGCGAATATGTGAAGAAAGATGATGAGTTTAGTTTTGAAAGTGAGTATTATGTTCCAATGAGACAATGTTTGTTTATTCAGTCATTCATCAAATAATTAGTAACCATTACTTAAATTCCAAGATGTTTGGGTTAGGCATATTACCTATCTCATTTTTTCCTTATATGTGATAGTTTAAAAATCTGCCAAATGTGTATTACCAATATTTTTATCCCAGTTGGTAACGCATCTTTTCAGTTGGATTATGGTGTCCCTTTTGTGATAACTCTAAAATTTTTGATATGATCAGTCTCTTATTTTTCCCTATCCATGCTCTAGCCAAGAAATTCCTCCCCATCCTGTGGGCATAAAGCTACTTTTTTATAGTGCTTTATAGACCGACTTCAGACACTTGAATGAATACCTGTGGAAATCAGTGGGTGGGTGGGTGTGGACTCTGTTACAAGGTGTTCTGCAGCCGGTCAGGGTTTGGCTGAGGCAGGTTCTTGATCCTCCTGTGTCTTTTCCAGGCTTCCAAACACATCCATTGACCTCTTTGGTCTCATGAAAGTCTTGTCACTTTCTTCAACTTAATTCATTTAGGTTTCATTTCACCCTTCATTTTTTTTTTTCCATCTAAAAAATCCCCTATGACTTCGTAGTTCATCTGATTTATTTTGGTTAATGTGAGAATGATTTTTATCTCTTATAAAGGTGTTTTGTTTTTTAAAAAAAATACTTTTTGTGATACTGCTTTCAAAAACAGAAAACAGCCCTATCTGCGTTGGCTCAGCGGATAGAGCGTCAGCCTGCGGACTGAAAGATCCCAGGTTCGATTCCAGTCAAGGGCATGTACCTTGGTTGCAGCCACATCCCCAGCAGGAGGTGTACAGGAGGCAGCTGTCCAATGTTTCTCTCTCACCAATATTTCTAACTCTCTATCCCTCTCCCTTCCTATCTGTAAAAATCAATAAAATATATTATAAAAACACAGAGAACATATCTTCATCATTGTTATATTTCTAATAACCTTAACTATAATAATAGGTAACATTTATTAGGAACTCACTGAGTGCCAGGTGCCTCAGTGAGTAATTAATTAATATTATTTAATATTCAAAAACTCGAGAATAGTTATGGTGACATCATCTCCATTTTCCAGATGAGACATTAAGTAGGACGATCAATATTACACAACCAGCTGCTTTTGAACTCAGGGCTGTCCGATTCTGGCACAGAGTTTGCCAATGCACACCCCTCGTTAGGGCAGGCAGATAAGGTGAGTGAGTGAGTGCTGTGAGTGGGCTAAGAAATAGCAAAGCAAGCAGCACGATGGATGGCTGTGAACATTCAGCCTTGATGTCGATGAAGAAATAAAGAGGAATCAATTCGGTGGCAAAGTCTCTTGGAGCACACATTCACAGGGCCCGGTCACCTCTCAGCTCTGGCCCGTTGTTGCCCATGTGAGAATATGGGTCTTCAGATTTCTTGATCCCTAGAAATCTATATATATATATATATATTTTTCCATATAACACCACTCAGTTTCTAAATGCTATTTTGTGGTTCAGATAAAAATAAAATTCAGTGTGCAGACCTGCATGGCGAGTCTACAGTAAAACTTATCTATAGCCCACGCTGTTCTCTGACCCCCAGTCCGCAGTCTCTGTAATAAAGCTGAGCCCAGGTAGACCAGCTGGTCACCTGCCTCTCCGTGGCTCCCGCTGCCTTCCTTCCCGCTGTGCTATGAAGTAAGGGCATGGCCGAAACCGGCTTGGCTCAGTGGAGAGAGCATCAGCCTCGGACTGAAAGGTCCCAGGTTCGATTCCAGTCAAGGGCATGTACCTTGGTTGCTGGCCATCCCCAATAGGGGATGTGCAGGAGGCAGCTGATCAATGCTTCTCTCTCATCGATGTTTCTGACTCTCTGTCCCTCTCTCTTCCTCTCTGTAAAAAAATCAGTAAAATATTTAAAAAAAAATTAAAATTATTTCTAAAATAAAATAAAAATAAATAAATTAATTAAGGGCACGAAGACCTGCCCTGGAGCAGATGTGTCTTATTTGCTGCTATTGTGCACATGTTTGTGTAGATATAAGCTACCATTTTTAGAATCACATCCTTTTTAAAATCTTTATCTGCCCTAAAGTAGTAGAATTCTTTTTAAAGTAGTAGAAATCAAGGTGATGTGAGAACGCAAGTATTACTGAACGCTCCGCTTGTTCCTGTTCACTAATCACGGCATCTCTCTCCCTCTGCCCTTCCTTCTCTGCCACAGCTCTCCCTGTCAGAAGAGCAGAATGACGTAACGAAGAACGGCTGTGAATCGAAAGAGCTGGTCTACCTCGTGCACATCGCCTGCCAGGTAATTTCGTGGCTGCGTTCTCCATTTCACATAAGATGTACTAAGGATAGTTTTGAGCCCCGGTTAAATTCCTTTCTGGAATGCTTTTCTCACACTGCCTAATAGAATCCACAGAAAATTACTTGTACAATATTGAAAGGAAATTGGGCGATGAATGGCTATTGTTAAAGAAAATGACTGGTGTCCTTTAAAAAAAAAGGGAATAAATGCGTTCATACAGAACCAAGTGAAATGCACAGTTGATATGACAGCTCGCGTGTCTTTGCATTTTCAGAAAGTTTTAAGGCTTTCGACACTTGTGAGTGTGAAAGAGTTGAATATGGAAATACACGCGTGTTGTTTTTTTTCTCGTAGTCTTTTTGGCATTTCTCTATGTACTCAGATTTGACACAATCAGTTTAAAAGAATCAGTTTTCTAGATGTTTAATTTACAAACTTCAATGAAAATCCTTTTGTAAGAGTGAGGAGAATCTATTGTTTATGGTTAGATGCCAAGAGCTCACAGTCATCTCTGCCTGAGATGCTCATGTTTCTAACCAGGATGGTGAGTTCCACTTTGGTGTAATGGTAGAATGTGTGTTTGTTTTAGAACTGTGCTAGTTTTGACTTGCTTTTAATGAGATTTAAGATGTGTTACTTGTAGCGTTGATTATTTCCTCTACCAAATAATCAATTAATATAGTTTTAGTTTATGTTTATTGAGCCTTTTGCCTGTTTTTGAATTAGCCAAAACTTACTTGTATACATAGTTTTTAGTTTTGTTTTTTTTGTGGGTCATTTATTTTACCCCTCCTTCCCAAAGTATTATTTATGTACCTGAAGTTCAAAATTAAATAACCTGGGAAAGTCTAAGGCTTATCTCATATGGGAAATGCTGAAGTTCTTAGTCCAGGTTAGGGGTGTCAAACTCAATCAGAGAAGGGGCCAAAATCTAAAATCCAGCCTAAATCGCGGGCCGAATGGTTTACTGAACAGTCATAAACTGTCATTGTGATGGAAACGCAGCGGAGTGCAGTGATGACAGCGTGGTGCGGGCCACATTGCAAGGCCTGGCGGGACGGATTTGGCCCACGGGCCTTGTGTTTGACACATGTGGTCCAGGTAACCTTAAGGAAAGCCTTTCAGAATTAAGTGCTCTTTTATTTAAGTGCTTTTAAGTGTCAGAGTATGCACCTGGAAAGTGAGTTTTCCTTTTATGTTCTACTAGAGGCTCGGTGCACAAAATTTGTGCATTCGGGGTGGGGGAAGGTCCCTCAGCCCGGCCTGCACCCTCTCACAATCTGGGAACCCTCGGGTAGGGTCCCTAGACCTGGCCTGAAATCAGAGACTATTGGGGCTTTCCTTCCCTGGGCTGCAGGCAGCCTGCCCCATTCCTGCTCCTGCCACTGCTTGCCATCTGTGTAGTGCTGCCCCCTTCTCCCCTGCCACCAGTGGCTTCCCTCTGCAGGTGACAGGCATGGGGTGCAATGGCTTAGCTGGCCTAGGCCTTCCTCTATGGTAGGGGTGTCGAACTCAATCAGAGAAGGGGCCAAAATCTAAAATCCAGCCTAAATCGCGGGCCGAATGGTTTACTGAACAGTCATAAACTGTCATTGTGATGGAAACGCAGCGGAGTGCAGTGATGACAGTGAGGTGCGGGCCACATTGCAAGGCCTGGTGGGACGGATTTGGCCCGCGGGCCTTGTGTTTGACACATGTGCTCTATGGGGTGATCACTGTCGGCCGCACACCTGCCACAGAGTTGATGAAGGTGGCCTGGACCTCCCTCTTTCTTTGCTGGGAGGTGGAGCAAGCCCAGAGAGGGGCCATTTGCCTACCTGATCCCTCCTAACTGCTGGCCTGCCTTCCTGATCACCCCTAACCACTCTGCCTGCCTACCTGATGCCCCTACCTAATGTGAGGGGCCGTGGTGGTTCAGGTCTCTGGTGGTTCCCGTCATTATGCTGGCCTTTTATTATATAGGATTGACTGTCCTCTCAACTGTAAACCACTAAGTTTCATGTTGTATTTCACAAAATATTTTTATTTGGTGAGTTAAATTTTCAGTGAGAATATTAAGAGCTTTGATGATGAACCTTTACTAACAGACGAATAAAAAACATATCATCTGCCCGGCTGGCGTAGCTCAGTGGTTGAATATCAAAGTATAAACTAGGAGGTCACAGTTCAATTACAAGGCAGGGCACATGCCCAGTTTGCAAGCTTGATCCCGAGTGTGGGGAGTACAGGAGGCAGCCGATCATCACTGATTTCTCTCCCTCTCCCTTCCTCTCTGATATCTATCTATATCTGTATATCTATATCTATATCTATATCTATATCTATATCTATATATCTACATCTACATCTATGAGAAAAACATAACTTCTTTATCTAGAGTACCTGGTTGACACATGTCATAATGAATTCATCCCTCTATAGTCTAGCACTGTTTAGCATCTTTTTTTCTCACTATTAATTTCCACATGTTCTGACAATGCGAATGTTTTTTTATTCTCATAAGCAAAATACAGTGTCAGTAATATCTGTGCTGGTTTTTCAAAATGACCTTCAAAAGTAATCTGTGGTATTTTGATAACACAAAGTAGAATGTATAATTGTTATTTGATTATGCTGCCATGAGCAGTGACCTAGATAGGTAGGCTGTTTCCTGGTAGTGAACATCTTGCCGAACTGCTTAGAAAATTTTAGACTCCTTGGTATGCTGTTTAGAACACCAAAGCCATAATTTACTGCATTGTAGTAATGCCACCACACTGCTCTGCCTCAGCGTAAGCAGTCATTGCTGCCTGCCCATGGCTCACCTCCTGTATTCTTGCCATGTAGCTCAGCCACAAACCATATTCAACGAGAATTCTACTTTTTTTAATAACTAAGAGAGACTCACAATCAAACCCTCTAATTTTGCAAATGAGGAAATTGAGGCCCAAATGCCTGAAGTGGCTTTTCTGAGCTGTAGGGAATCTGAGCAGGAGCTGCTGAGGACTTCAGTTCTCCGATTGCCAGTTTCTCCTGCTTCTCCTTGGAATTCCCAGGTAACAACAGATGTGTGTGTGTGTGTGTGTGTGTGTGTGTGTGTGTGTGTGTGTTTGGGGCAGGGGAGGGGTTGCCTCGTCTTCAAGTAAGATATGCTCATACCACTGATGGGATCTATTCATCTCAGAAGCTATTTATTCACATTTTGTATCTTTGCTAATTTCTCACTTTAATAATGTGCTCTTGAAATTCTTTTTATTTAACCCAAATCCTTGGCCCTTCATCTTAACCCACTCTCTTTTTTATCTTAAAAATAATGGCCAATCATGCTGAAACCAGTTTGGCTTAATGGATAGAGCATCAGCCTGCACATTCAAGGGTCCCAGGTTCGATTCTGGTCAAGGACATGTACATTGGTTTCGGGCACATTCCCAGTAGAGGGTGTGCAAGAGGCAGCTGATCGATGATTCTCTCTCATCGATGTTTCTAACTCTCTATCCCTCTCCCTTACTCTCTGTAAAAGTCAATAAAATATATTAAAAAAAAATAATGGCCAATTAAATAGTGACCTCCCTTCCTATAAGTTAAGTGCTAACTGCTTCCTTTAGGTCTTATCTTCGAACCCTCTAATCGTGCCTTTGCCTCTGCCCTCTAAAGTCTTAATTTCTCTTTAAATTGTGACCCTATACATGCAAACTATGTTCTTCTAGGGAATTGGTCCAGAGTCAGTGGGCATTTGGGGGCACCTGTGTGTAGTAATCAGATATTCTGACATGCAGTCTGTCATTTCATTCTTACAACAACCTGTGAGGTTCATAGTCTGGTTTCCATTTTACAGATGGCAAATCCAAGACTCAGGATTGTTAACTTAAAGAGAAAGACCAAGATTTAAACCTTAGCCTAGTGGGTTTTTTTCCCCTTCATTCCTTCACCATTTTCTAATATGATTTGTACCTGGGTGGCTACTGTGAACTTTGTGAACATATCCCAAATATTAATAAAGGGACCCAAACTGGCCATCTAGGTTTCTCTGAATGACTTAAGTGGACAGGTGTGGGTAGCATGTATATATGAATAAAGACACTTGCAGAGAGAATGTGAACTGCAACTTTCAAATGAAGAGCATCAGAGGGAGAAGTGAGACCGGCTGGATTATGTTCCAGGCCAAGAGGCGATGTAGGCCGAGTGATGTAAAACCAGTTAACAGCTGACATGGCAGGGCCCGATGCAGTTGAGCAGATACTGTCATACAACCTCAGTTATCCATGTTGGTGTGGCTCAGCCCAGTGGTAACCACGGGTTACACTGCTCTCCTGGATGCCTTGAAGAATTGATGTTTAATGTCCTGCCTGAGCTCTCATTCGCTTTTCTCTTGTATGAATTATTATCCTATGTAATAAAAGCCCAGCAACCGAAATGTGGGACAACCAGAGACCAGAACACCTCTCCCAGGCTGGCCTGCCCCTCAGGGAGCAGTTAGGGGTGATGAGGCAGGCAAGCGAATAGTTAGGGGCAATCAGTCAGGCAAGTAGCTAGGGGTGATCAAGCAGGCAGACAAGCAGTTAGGAGCCAGAACTCCCGGATTTCTAAAGGGATATCCGACTATCGGTTGTGGGCTCGGGCCTAAACATCCCCTGAAAGGTCTCAGATTGTGAGAGGGTACAGGCTGGGCTGAGGGACACCCCGCCCCCCACCCCATGCATGAATTTCATGCACCAGGCCTCTAGTTTAGAATAAGTTGGCTTAACCAACATAGGTTCAGATATTTCCTTTCTCATCTTTTTATTCTATTTTCCAAGTAAATAAAATGGAAGAAAAAAGTATTAGGTAGAAAAAACAAGTTAGCTAATGTGGACGAAGCAATGCTTTTCCAGTTTGTATCATGATGTTTATCTGAATGGGAATATGTTGTGTGTTTTTTTGTTTTATTTTCTGAAAATCATACTAATTTTTCTCTGCATTTTACCCACTTTTTAGGAAACGATGTTTCTATAATGGTTTGAAATCAATGAAATCTTTAAAAT